CTCTGTTTTTATTTTAATTAGCTTTTAATTCCTTTTTATGCTCTCACTGTTTTCTGTAGCTGCCCTGTGCTTTATCCCCTGCTTTTCTATTTCCCCCTTTTACTTAATGTGCTTTTAATTCTTTTTATATGTTTTTCACTCTAAAACCTTTTTTCTATTTTCCTTTTTATTTTAATTTGCTTATAACTTTTTTTAATAATTTTTCTTGCTGCTTTCTCTAGCTGCCATGTCCTTCCATCCCATCCGCTACTTTTCTATTTTCTTCTTTTATTTTAATTTGCCTTTAATTTCATTTCATTTCATTTGTATTCAGTTTTTTAATCCATCTGTCCTCTTTTTTAATTATCACTCTGCTAATTTTGTAAGCTGCCATCTCTAAAAATGTTTTTTCTATTTTCTTATATTTATTTTCCACTTCCTTCTCTCACTTTTCCTTTTATTTAATTAGCCGTTGCAATTTTTTATTGCAATTTTTTATTTTTTTTTTTAAGACCGCACACTTCTCTAACCCTAATCCAGTTTCTTTCTTTTTCAAACTTGCCTTCGCCATAGACACTTTGCTTTCATAATCTCTTTAATGTCATTCTCCTTTGCAATTTTTTATTCTTAAAACGCAATCAAATATATTCAAGCACAAGCACACCACAGCGCCTGGCCCCAGACATTCACAAAACACCATATAATATTTTCAAAATGGCCAACCGAGCCAAACTCAGGCAGAAGCAGAAGGGGTGAGACGTACATCTGTCAAAATTGCATGGTGATGGAAGCTAGTGAGGTATATACTACTCATATTCATAAGCAGGCCTTGCCGAACCTTGGCGAGCCCTGCCACGAACCCGGCTCTTCTAGGTTATAATCTACTTGCCACGGGCTAGTAGAGCCACGGGCGAGTAGATTGTATAATTTGTCGAGCCCTGTTCATAAGCATATTTTATAACAAATACTAGCAGATGTACGTGGCTTTGCTCAGGTCTTTAGCTGAAGTATTTTGGGGAGAAAATAAATGAAAATCTTGCATTCTTTACTTCAATTATTTATAGTTTTCAAAAAAAAAAGGAAAATAAGAGTGGGATTTTGGGTGTGAATAGGGGCAAGGGATGGCTGGCTTAGGGCAGAGGGTTGGTGTGGCGGTGCTCAAGAAAGGAGGTGAGAGGTTCAGGGCGGGTAGGTGGAGAAATCAAGGCAAAGGAAGATGCAGGAGTGAGGCTCAGGCAGCAGGCTCGGGACAGGCCTGAGAGGTTGGCGGCATTTCCAGGGCTGCCCGTGGTGGCGAGCGTGATGCTGCTCTGATGCCGACTCCTCCTAGGGGGCTGGGCAGTGCTCCCCTCAAGCAGGCCCCCCCTTTATCCTCTGCAGGCTAGCTGGGAGAGACCAGGCTCAGGAGGCTGCAGCCTCCTCCTGCAGCAAGCTGCAGCCCCCTCCTGCAGCACACACCCTCCCCTCCCCTTCCCCGCAGCTGCTTACACTCAGAACCCGCCTCATGCCATGGGCTCCAGCATCCCTCGCCCACGGCCTGCGTGCTGTCTGGGGGCCAACCGAGCCAAACTCAGGGTATGTCTACACTACAGAGTGTTTTGGAAAAACAGTCGTTTTTCTGAAAAAACGTCAAGTTACGTCTACACTGCAATCACGTGCTTCCAACGGAAAATGGAAAGACCGGAGGGGTTTTCCAACACTGGTCATCCTCATTATACGAGGAAGGAGCCTTTTTGCCTGCAGGCTGTATGGGGAGGGACCAGCCTGCAGACTGTCTGGGGGGGGGACCAGGCTCATGAGGCTGCCACACCCCCAGAAACACTCCCACGGCCCACAGGATATCTGGGAGGAGTCTCCAAGGGCTGCCCTCTCCTACACCTTCCCCTGCAGCTATTTACACTCAAAACCCGCCTCATACCCGTGGCTCCAGCCTGCCCCCTCCCC